AAGGTGGGCAGGAGGTTGAGGTGCTCCCCACCTTCCGCTACTACGAGCCCGAGGTGGTGGCCGTCATCGGGCCCGACAGCACCCAGCTGGCCCTCACCACAGCAGCTATCCTTGGCGTCTTCCTCGTACCAGAGGTAAGCGTGGCTCCCCTGGCAGATGAAGAAAAGGGATCCCGAGGAGTAATGGTTTGAGGGAGGATAGGCTTGGAGCTGAGGAGCCAGGCTGAGCTGGAAACGCAGCCCCTCCATGCATGCATTGGCCTGGGTCTCTTCCCAGGCACTGTCAGCTGGCACACAGGAATCATGGCTGGCGCCCTGTTCTTCAGAGGTGTCTCTCATGGCAGCACATTTGGCTCTGGGTCCGCTGCCTGCCCAGCCCCAATTCTCTTCAGGAGACGGGGCTGCCTGCGCTGTTAGCTCTTAGGGTGCCGCTGCCTGGGAGAGCGCAACCCCCTTTCTCCTGGCTCCCTTGCAGATCAGCTATGAAGCCTCCTTGGAGACACTGAGCCTGAAGCGGTTTTACCCTTCATTCCTGCGCACCATTCCCAGCGACAGGCAGCAAGTGAAGGCCATCTTCCTGCTGCTGCAGCACTTTGGGTGGACTTGGGTCGCTCTGCTGGGCAGTGACAACGACTACGGCAGGGACAGCTTGGATGCCCTCTACAAGCTGCTGACCGCAAGCGGTGTGTGTGTTGCCTATCGAGGCATCATCCCCATCATCAAGGATGCCAGCAGCTCGGAGCTCCACAACCTGGTCAGAATCCTCATGGATGCCAGGGTCAATGTCACAGTCGTCTTCTCCAACAGACAAAATGCCCGCGCTTTCTTTGAAGTGGTGGTCCAGCGGAATGTCACAGGCATGGTGTGGGTGGGCTCTGAAGACTGGTCGTTAGCCCAAACAATCTGGCAGGTGCCTGGCATCCAGAATATTGGCTCAGTGATTGGCATGTCGGTTGAGAAGACAGAGTCTACGATGCTGGAACGCTTCGAATCTTGGAAGATGGCAGAGGAAGGTGCTGCAGCTGAATGTGCCGACAGCACCGAGGCAGGCAGGGGAACTGGAGGGAGCGCCCAGCTGGACTGCACCCAGTGCTGCACTGGCTGCCACTCGCTCACCGTTGCCCATGACACATATGACGCTCAAGCCTCCTTCAACGTGTACTCAGCCGTGTACGCTGTGGCCCACGGCCTCCATGACCTGCTGGGCTGCGCCTCGGGAGCATGCAGCAAAGGCACAGTCTATCCCTGGCAGGTAAGAGCAACATGAAGAAGGCTCTTCCTTGTGGAAGAGGATCCATGAAGATCCTTCCTCACAAGGAAGGGTTTTTCCCATGTGCCCAGGGGTTTTCTGTCCCTCTGAAGGGTTCATGTCCCAGCTGAAGAGCCTCAGGGGCTTCAACGACCCGTCACAGTCAAAGCATCCTGGACCTAGACTCAGACCCCCATCCTAGATCACTTCTGTTCCTCTACTGCCAGCCCCTTGCACAAACCTGGAAGGGATTTTTCTGCAGCTGGGCATACTCCAGCTGTTGGGGGGTTGGAAAGAGGAGCCAGAGCAGAGAAGGGACCCTCTAGCACATCTCCCTCCTGAGACAAAGCACTCCTCCGCAAGAGTCTTGTCATCAGGGAGGGCTCTTCTGTTACTCTTCTGTTTTACAGCTCCTACAAAAAATCAAGCAAGTCAACTTCACCCTGTACAAGAGCCAGATCTCTTTTGATGCCAACGGGGACATTCGTAAAGGCTACGACATTGTCATGTGGAACTGGAGCGGCCCGAGCTGGGCTTTTGATGTGATAGGAACTTTCCGTGTGAACCCTGACAGGCTGAGCGTTGATCAGGGCAAAATCCTGTGGCACACAAAAGATCACCAGGTACTGTTCTGCATCCAGATCTTATTTATTGCTTACTGCCGAGCCACCTACATCCCAACACTGCCAGTTCTGGGGTCTTTCTCCATAGCAGGACAAAAATGAGGGCAGAGGGAGGCGATATGGTGGGAGGGGTGATCTGCATTCTGAGTATCAGCTTTCATCCTTCCAAAAACCAAGCAGGGCACGTGAACTGAAAAGGCTCCTACTTTCACTTTTAAACAGTCTCATTTTCCCACCATCTCTGCAAGAACCACAACGTGGTGAGCTCTCAGCTCCTGCCTAGGGTCTGTCCTGAAAGCTGGCAGCAAGCTGCCCAAGCGCTGCCAGGCCCAGGCCTGGAGCTCAGCAAAGCGTCCTGCTGCCCTCTCCGCTCGCCTGCCTGACCCTTGCTGCGCTCCCGACAGGTTCCCACCTCAGTGTGCTCCGAGGCCTGTCAACCCGGGGAGAAGCGGCTGCAGCGGAGCCGCCACCGATGCTGCTTCAGCTGCGTGGCCTGTCCATCAGGAACCTTCCTGAATAGATCGGGTTAGTATGTCCCGGTGGGCTGGTCCTTCCCCTTTCTTCCCACTTAACTCCCCTGCCCACAGCCTGCCTCCTCCTCCTGTCAGCTCCTTGCTTTGGCCTTGATGTTCCCCCCAGCCTCTTCCCTCCTGGTCTCTCTTCCTCCCTGTGGTCAGTAAAAACCTCTGAGCTGACTGGAATGCAGTCGGTCTGACTCCCATTTGCTTACCCATGGGTATGCAAAGCCCTGTACCTTCCAGGGAGCGCTGCCCACAGGCGGGCCCACGCAGTCAAACAACCAGCAGAGATGGCACCGGCAGAGCCCTTTCTCCCGCAGCCAGGGGACAAGGGACGTCTGGCCCGACAGCTGTTTCCTGCACCACATCCTCCAGCAGGGAAATTCAACCCGGTGGTTGCCCTTTGCGGCCCAGATGGCACTCAGGGCTTCCGCACCATGTGGTCATCAGCTGCTGGCATATGGAAATGTCACCTGCCTGGGACAGGTGGCAGGAATCTCCTGTCTCAGACTTACCAGCCACAATGACAAACCCCTTGCTGGCAGCTGGTCACTTGGCAGCCTCGGCCCGCACTTGGGCTTAGTGGGGCAGAAACGGCCAGCTCTGGGTAACAGCGGGAGCAGGGAGCCCCCAGACATGGCCGGTCAGCCTTACTGTCCCATACCCCAGCCTGTGGAAGGGGTGCTGCTGCACACCCTTCCCGGCCTTTGCAGGTTACTGCTGGACACACAAGCCCCTTCCCACCCAGAGCCCACGCGCCACTGAGCGTGGCTCACCCAGCTGAGCTCCTGTTGGCCTCGTGCCTCTCGGGCCAAGCAATGCACTTTTGGGAAGTCCACTGGGGTGACTTTTGGGAGAAGTCTTTTGGGAAAAGAGCACCCTCCGCTCTTCAAGGCCTTGAAGTGCCCGAGCGGAAGGAGCAGGATGTGAGGAGTGGGCAGCTCTCACAGAGAGCGCAGGGGGCTGTGAGGGCAGGGTGCTCCACTGTGGCAGATCACTTACCAGGGTCTGTGGTGTGCAAGGTGCCTCTGTCACTGCCCAGGCTCATGTCCTCTGCAGACCTCTACAGCTGCCAGTCCTGCGGGCTAGACGAATGGGCCCCGGCGAGGAGCGAAGCTTGCTTCAACCGCACCGTTGATTTTCTGTCCTGGTCCGAGCCCATCTCCTGGGCACTGCTGACCCTCGCTATCCTCCTCATGCTGCTCATGGCAGGGCTGGCCGTCCTCTTTGCCCTGAATGCTTCCACACCAGTGGTCAAGTCTGCGGGCGGGAAGATGTGCTTCCTCATGCTGGGCTCTCTGGCCTGTGCCTGCAGCAGCCTCTTCTGCTATTTCGGGGAGCCTACCCGGCACACGTGCCTGCTGCAGCTCTTCCTCTTCGCCATCAGCTTCACCGTCTTCCTTTCGTGCGTGGCGACACGCTCCTTCCAGATCATCTGCATCTTTAAGCTGAACGCACGCTGGCCGGCCCTTTACGAGGCCTGGCTGCGGCGCAGGGGTCCGGCGCTCTTCATCG